TGAGAGGAGTACGCCCAGACAATCAAGAAACTCCACCAACAGACGAATGTTCATTACCGTGTACAAAAAACACACCATTGATCCCTAGCTATCCCAAGCCATGTTAATCGATCATCAATCTCCAATCCTATTTCCTTAAAATCATTTTTAATTTTATTTTCTAGTCTTTTCCCTTCAGTCTTTATAAAAAAAACTGTGCACTCATTTCTCTTCTCCCCATGTACGCTACATGTCCGGCATATCTCAATAATAATAATAATAATAATAATAATAATCTCTAATAATAAAACTATATAATACAGGTAGAACGTATTAAAAACAAAATGTATTTCGGAAACAGCTGTTGCACTGTGTACCTTAGGGTATCTAGAAGTAAATACCCTATAAAGAGGTGGCTTGAGTTCGTGCCACTTACTGCTAATTAGCTGCCTTTCTACACTTTGTTCTCAGACCGGCCTTATACAGTTCTCTCCAGCATCCTGTCACTTCATCCCTCTTTGTTACATATAGTCTCCTCCTAAGCACCCTCTACCAGGTTTCATGCCCATACAAAAAAACAGGTAAAATCAAGGCCTTGAATATTTTAAAATTTACGTTTTTATAACACAGACGGGAAAACACAAGATCGAGAAATGTAGGTCAGCAGGCATTTCCTGACGAAAATTAGTACTGTCGTAAAATGACGTACAGGTTTCTCGTTGGAAAAACGAATATTACCATAAGGACACGCTACGTCTCTCTTACCTAACAGAACCAGGAATTGAATTTCGGGGATAAGTGACTTCAAGGCCACGGAAGGACTTCACCCCTCTTATCACTCGGCTCGAAGTCAACAGTGCTACGTTGCGAGGTCTGAGCTGTCTCCACTCGCCTGGGAACAGCTGTTCGAGTTGCAACGTTGTACGATTTTGCACAAGCATGCAATTCTGTGACGGACACAACAGTGGTTGTACTGGACCGGCATTAAACAATAAGTGTTCTGAATAAATATCCCTAGACCTATATGAAATTTCGTTGCAATGGGTTAAGGAGCATTGAACTAAGGAACATGTAGACGCCTCCAGAGTGTGAGGTAATTTAATACACTCCATGGACAGGACGCATGAAGAGTACATCCGTGCCGCGAGCGAGATACGAACAGCTCTGATTTTATGACCACTCCAGCTCTCCCTGCAACACTGGATTCCCAACTCCGGCCCTGTAAAACTGAGGATCAAGGCACGCCATACCTGTCCTTTCAGAACGAGAATTCGTAAAACGAGCAGTAGGAACGGTCATAGATTTAATGACGCGGAATTCTTACCATGCTTGAGACGGCTGGGCTCTGAGTGTGTTTCAATGTACAATCATACTTTTCAGGTGTGACCGATAAATGCGCAATAGATTTGATTGATTAAAGTCAGTTTAAAGCGTGAACTAGTCAACTTCTCTCGTTTAAATGCTTCATTCTTATTCCTCTTTTCAAGTTCTTCCCAAACTCGAGCCTGTAACGCAGTTTCCACTACTATTGGAATTATTTCTCATGCGCAGTGGTCAACGCTAAATAATCTGACTGTGTTTCTCTTTGTTAGAAACACTGGTATCACCTGCTGAGATTATAAAGCAGCGACTAAGAAACTGAAATGAGTAAAAACAAGTTGCGAAGATATAGCGCAGTGGCGGCTGTGGTTCTATTTTTAAAAAGTCGACCTATCGGTCACGCACATAGGAAAACCATTAAAAATATCGGTCCAGATAGACTATGTCGTATTTGTTTCGAAATGCACATTTCCCATACGTCACATAAGTCACATTATTGCTTAGCTAACCTACTTGATAAACAAACCGTGTAATACCATGTCTTAAGAGAGTAACTAATTAAAATAACTAGCAAACACTGAATAGACTTACATCGATTGTTCTGCAAGATGAATACTATCCCTGTACTCAATAAACAAGCCACAAAATCGTATAGAGGAAGTGAGGTTAAAAGTCCAAACATTCATATCCTTGTCTGAATATAAACCGAGAAAGCTATCAGTGGCTGACCGGACCAAGATTCGACTGCCGTCAGAGATAAAGACGTCTGCTTTCGGCTCCACGTCCAGACCGCGTCTGAACCCCACCCAGCCTCTAGCTCAACCGACAGAATTTTGGGGTCTGTAGTACGTCGAGCATGACACTTGATGGCGTAAAACCACGTATAAAGTCCCTCACAGATTATACTATTTTACGACATGTATCTAACGAGCCGCCACTGACACCATAAAGCAGTGCTGCAGTCCGGACGTGCCAAGCTTATGAACAAGAAATAAATAAACATCAATTCCGTCTGCGGCCCTATTAAGCAAGCAGACGGCCGAATTACTGCTGCAGATAGCTCAGAACCAGCGCGTTCTGCTGAAGATATGTAACCTCTGGTATCACAAACAAAAGGATCCTATGGACCCCATCCTGAGCAATACTGGTTAGATTCCAGAGTGCAGAACCGGTATCTCAGAACTATGTGTTCCTGTAATACGAACAGAAAACGGTGCATGACTAAATTCTGAACTGCGTGGACACAAATGAATGATTTCGTAACGTAATTCAGCTGCCGCGCGGGTCTGGGCTAGAACCAGACACCTCATGATAGGAAATCGGACATTCGAAGTGCATAAATGACATATATCCAGGGCTGTCAAAGCAACGCGGGTAACGACGGGAAGTATTAAGATTTATCACAGAGTCACTTTCGCGAGCAGAATCACGTAGGTCGAAACGTCCTATTTTCACAAAAATTAGAACCTGGGGGAAAATTTTGAGTAAAACTCCCCTAATATAAAATTTCATGAAAACCCATTCAGTCATAATTATACAGCCGAACAGATATGGCAACTCTAACAAGCGCACTTTTTTGCAAAATTTAATTGCAAATGCGCCTAAAAATGAAATTACGGGACACATAAGATGCCACAGATTTTAAAATTCACTCGACACTACAAATAATTCTGAGAAAATGCATTAATTTTTTGTGCGTTCAGTTACCTTAACCAATTCACTGCTGGCTTTGACGACTTGGAAATTAAAAACTGACATTTTATGCATTCCAGTAGCATGAAGTTCATACGAGGTTTCACGAAAAATGGCTAATCAGTGTAGGCCAAGGTACAATATACTGACCAATTTACATCCATCTAGGAGGAGACGTATAACTACGCCTCGAAAATACGATTCCGAAGGATAGTTTTCTGAGGGATCCAAAACAGAAAAAACGGCGAAAATTACAATTTCCTATCCAATCCGACACTATCACAGTACACCCTCGCTATTCGCAGGGGTTAAGTTCTTTAAAAAAACCGCAAATGGAAATACGGGTTTAGGGGAATTAAGTTCTTTAAAAACCCCGCAAATGGAAATACGGGTTTAGGGGAACCAAAGACACACGAAACTTTATACTTAATTCATAACTAAAGACTAATAAAATATGAGTTTTGATGTTTCTTGGGATGACGTCGGCGTTCCTGGCTGAAAGTTGTCAGGATGATCGACCAATTTCGAAATTGCGAAAATTACATTCGAAGTACACTCAGTGTGGCACGACATTACGTCACTACAGAAAGAGATGCGAGCGGTTGTGTCACTCCGCGCGCCTGCGCATGAGCGACCACGATACCTACGCCGCGATACACAAACCCTCGAACCAGGAGAGACCGCCCTAGTCTACAAAAGTGTAGCATTTTCCGAGTGTAATTGGTCTATGGATCGTCTGTGGGAGTCCGTGCCGAAGCAGCTGTAGCCTGCGCATGAGCGACCACGGTACCTACGCCGCGATACAAAAACCCTCGAACCAGAAGAGACCGCCCTAGTCTACAAAAGTGTAGCATTTTCCGAGTGTAATTGGTCTATGGATCGTCTGTGGGAGTCCGTGCCGAAGCAGCTGTTTATTGACAAGAGAACATCGCGTTATCTCTCTAATAACTGAAGGATTTATTGCATTACCAAGATAAGCCGTAACACAGAGACCGCGGGCCACTTACTACGTGTCGGCCTGTCTGCCATTCACAGTTTCGGTCACACAGTTGACTTATAGCAAAGAAACGAATGCACAATAACGCAAAATATATCCGAGCTTCGTTAATCGTTACAAATTCACACACTGAGGTAAGCCAGCCGAGATGGAGGGAGGGTAAGCGATTGCGCAGGACAACATCTGCAACCTATGTACAATCCACGTAATTTGCATATATTAAAATGGTAATTCCATTAACATTTACACTTTTTGATTTCATAGTATCTCCATAAAATCGTAAGTCGTATTTGAGTAAACTACCCATGTTAATTCCAAGTGTTCTTTTAGAAACAGCATAACCCATTTCAGGCTTCACTATGAATTCTACTAGAAACTTTTGTATTTACTCTTCACTATTTACGTTTGATAAAGTTTATACCTCCAGTAAATAAATACCGAAATTGTGACACGAATATCTTCAATCTCAAAACGAAGCACATCATACTGAATCAAACTTAAAGTTTGTTTTTACAAATTATATTTTCTTATTTCTCAAGTCTGCAAAAGGCTGTCCCTTATGCTTCAAATAACGCAATCTTTAATAATTATTAAAGTTCGCCTATATATTACTTATATTCAGTAATTATGTAGTATTACAATTAAAATTTGCTACATATCAGAAGAAGTTCAGAAAATGTCGCCTTATATTCTGGACTAGAGTCCGAGCGAGAAGTGCTGGCACATGCGCAATTTTGGTCGTATGAGATGGACCCGTCCGGAGCACGAGCTAGAGGGGTGTCAGCTTCAGTTGGTTTGTAGCTCTAGCTGTGTTTAGATCGGTGCGTCACCGCACCTGAGGCTGTGCGACCCCCACTACTACTGAACTCCCCTCTCTCGACTTACACATCGCGCATTTAGGTGCCACCACAACTCGCGCGAACAATACCATGTTGATAAATGAGTCGTCGGACAATCGTTTGTATTATTTAATGCACGACAGGTCGAGTGTTACATTAGAGTAAGTACTCACATAATATGTTGAGGGAGGCGGCCACACTCGTGAGCGAGAAGCCATTGCTGACGTTCATGGCGATGCAGGTGAACTCCCCGAAATCAAGGATGCGATCTGCCCGCGTGATGTGTAGGTGCGATCCCCGCTGGTAGCGCCGTGTGGTGTTCACAAGTCGAACCCCGTTCAGCTGCCAATAGTACGTAATGTCCGCCTCGTTCGACACCTCGCACTCAAGAGTAACGTTCGAGCCAGCCACCACATCCGCGTTAACAGGGTTACGAGAGAAATAAAAAGTCTCCTGGGCCCCACACCAACCTGAAAAGTCGCCAAAAACATTATGGTCTTTCTGTTACCAGGAAACAAAATTAAACGAACGCAGGAATTAGATACGCCTACTGCAAGAAACGGATCGTTTCGGATGCTTAATAACGAAAAGAAGTTGAAGTTGGTATCAGCAAGCCTGGAGGCAGGCGAAGTTGAAATATTTGGGAACAATAAAAATAAATCAAAATTATATTCACGAAGAAATCAGAATGAGACTAAATTCCGGATATGCTTGCTACTTCTGAGTTCAAAATATTTTGTCTCCCCGTCTGATTTCTAAGAACGTAAAAATTAAAGTATACAAAACAATAATCTTGCCTGTTGCTTTGTATGGGTGCGAAACATGGTCTCTCACTCAGAGGGAGGAACACAGATTGCAGGTGTTTGAGAAT